GGTGAAGGCCTGGGAGAGGTAGGTGCGGGGTAGAGAGGTCAATGGGGAAAAAAAGGGGGACATCTGTAATTCTTTCAATAATAAAGATAAACTTAAGAAAAAGGAATGAAGTACTGATACATCGCAACATGAATGGACCTTGAAAACATGATGCTACGTGAAAGAGGCCAGTTACAAAAGGCCGCATATTGTGTGATTCCATTTATATAAAATATCCAGAATAGGCAAACCCCTCAGGATGGAACAGACTACTGGTTGCCCAGGATTGGGTGAGAGTGGGGAGGTTGAGGTTAAATGGGTAGTGAGTGATAATAGGTACCGGGTTTCAAGTTGGGGTGATGAAAATGTTCCAGAATTGATTGTGGTGATGATTGCACAACTTTGACTATATTAAATATCACTGAATTATAGCCTTTACATGGGTGAATAACATGGTATTGAATTATATCTCAATAAAGTTGTGACAAAATATACGTATGTCTGGAGAGGAGTATACACTAAAACATTAACAGTGATTTTATTGATTACTTTTTCGTAGTCCCTTTCAAAGTTTCTTAGTTTTTTTGGCTCAAAAGTCTCACAAATTATTTTTAAAAACTGTATTTCAAAAAAGATGGCTTAAATTCTTTCTGAAAAAATGCAGAGTGCAAATATAAAAATGATATTGTAAAGGAACATGTTTTTGAGTTACTGAGGGGTTAAGAATTTCTTCTCTCACAGGGACATGCTCTCCCCGGCTGCAGATGCTGCAGTCAGTGGGGGCTTGGTTTGCTTGTTGAACTAAATGGAATGTTGAGGGTTGAGGACTGACAGGGCTCCCATAGGTATTTCTATAGATACGTGCCTCAGTGTTTTTCCCAGTCCATGCTTATTCTTATCAGTAGTCCCACTTTTAGGGGCTAAAACCCTCACATAATTGGGATACTGAAACAGAAGGTCAAGGTGATGTAGTAGCCTCTGAAATAATAGTGGTGGATAGTTTCTCACATTTGTCCCCTTCACCATTTTGAATCTCTGGCAGTTGTGAATAGGACATGCATTTAGGCTAAAACATTAAAGTGACACGTGGGCGTGAAGTCATTATCAGTGAAACACAAGTGCATAACTGGAGAGGAAAGGGTAGACTGGGTCTGACAGAGGTGCAGGGGTGGGAGGAGGCAAGGGGAAAAGCATTCATCGGTCTGATCCAGTTTGGAGTTGTATCAAAATAGTTCTAGTATTGGAAGTGTTTGAAGGAATAACTCAAAAAATAAGCAGCCTTCTTTTCCCTGGCTCACCCCCAGGTTGCCTACCGACCCACCACATCTCATTGGCTGCTTTGGGCCACCAGATCCAGGTGGAGGAGAGAAGCACTTATTCAGTATCTGTAGTGTGCCCTGCAATCAGCTTGGCCCTGGGGATACAGGTATTGGACCCAAGTCGATTTGGACCCAGCCTTTCTGGGACTCATGGCCTGTTGGGAGAAACGGATTCAGTGAGAGACTGTGAACCACCCTAAGGTTCCTGTGGGCATTTGTGGGGCAAGTGGAGCAAGCTGAGAGCAAGGCCCTTGTTTCCAGGTGCGCTTTGATGCTGCCCTGCAAACCTAACCCAGTTGTGCACTTGACCGTGGACAGTTGAACCCGAGGGTAGGGATGAAACAACAGTAGTTGTCTGGCTGGCTCTGATCATGATTCTTCTTGCTTCCTCCTGGGGGAGGAGTCAGATGGCACAGCAAATGGTAGTTAAAGGAGAAAACTGTGCATTCTAAATTTTCAATGTAAGCCTTTTCATTGCTTAAGGCTAGCCTGGTTGGCCCCATTTTTCAAAAGGAGACAGGCTTGTGCACAGAGTTCAAATGCTGTGCATTCTAAATTTTCAATGTAAGCTTTTTCATTGCTTAAGTCTAGCCTGGTTGGCCCCATTTTTTCAAAAGGAGACAGGCTTGTGCACAGAGTTCAAATCTATTAGGCTAATCTGTTTCTTAAGACACTGACATAAATCTTACAGCTGCTTAACCCTGTTTTGAAAACCCTGTTTGCTGCTGCAGTGTCACTGGTAAACATGATTATTAGAAATTATTTCTTGTTCCATTGCAGCTTGGCAATAAAAAGGTATGTTTATGAAGTTGGTAAGTCTGATTTACTAGTAGAGGGGGGTAATTCTTACTTCTGGGTGGGCCTGGAAAGCAAGATTAATAGGTCTTTAAAACAGAATAGCTTGGAGTTACTGATATCATTATCTGCTGAAGGTTGCTATAGCAATGAGTGGTTTGATTGCACAGTGCAGTTGGTGGTACAGTGGGTGAGTGTAAAAGGATCTGAGTAATTTAGTAGAAACTCTCCTGGAGCAATTTAATTAAACCCCAGTAGAATGAGTGCCAAATTCTTTGAAAGCTCTAAGATGCAGTTCTGTATAGACCTAAATTAATTAATGATACATTATTATCCTGAATTTACGCTGTCACAAATATCTTTTTTTTAAAAATATACAGAGAGGAAGGGAGAGGGATAGAGAGTTAGAAACATCGATGAGAGAGAAACATCGATCAGCTGCCTCCTGCACACTCCCTACTGGGGATGTGCCCGCAACCAAGGTACATGCCCTTGACCAGACTCAAACCTGGGACCCTTGAGTCCGCAGGCTGACGCTCTATCCACTGAGCCAAACTGGTTAGGGCTGTCACAAATATCTTAATGATTTTAGTATAAAGGTTTTATAACGTTGCAAATTATCTTTTAAATGATGGAATACAAATTTTATGAAGACTTGTCTATTTTAATGTAGTTTTTAAAAAATTAAACAAATTTACATTAGACTATAAGGAAAAAATGTAAGCTGGCCATGAACAAAACCTAGCTTTTTGAGAGGGGCGGGGAGCTAGGGTGAGAACATACTACCAGGGTGAACACATTCTTTATTGTTGCATGCTGGACTACCAGATGACATAGCCTTCTTCATTAGCCATCTTGAATAAAATGTGCACTGTTCTTCTGAATCATCAGTGTTGGTGTAGAATTCTTTAGGAATGCAGAATCATCCTAATTTAAGAGCATATGGTCTGACATGGCTTTAAAGGAATATTCTATCAAGGACAAAATAAACACGTGTGTGACTCTTGATATCTGTGCAGACGTGTCTGTTGAAACGTTGGTTCTGGTTACCCTTCCCTTCATTTTTAATGCATTGCTGATATCTTTCCCACTTACCTAATTTTTAGGGTTTGTGTATACATGTTTCAAAACAAACAAACAAACAAACCCTACTATGTTACTACAATGTGGTAAACAACATAGTGGGTGCTTCACATCAGCTTTCTGCATCTGTGCAGTGGGATGAAAAGCTTGGGACATAGGCCCTTACACAGCAGGCTTTTGAAGTGTGAAGTTGGCCTAGTTGACACACACATTGCTGTCCATGCTGCCCTGCCGATGTTACTCTGCTGCCACCTAGAGGCCTGTGTGGAGTGTGCATGTAAAGGTAGGCAGGATGCCGGGGAACTAAAGCTGCCTGGGCTGTGTGTCTGCTGCTGCTTTGTCCTTATTCCCTGTTGAGGTCAGTTGACATGACCACACACAATTGAGGCTCTTGCATTTTCATTTCTCCTTGTAGAGCTGATGTGCACTATGAATTCAAGAACAGTACACTATTTTGGAGCGTTAATATCTTATTACTTGTTTGATGAAAAGCAAATTCAAAGTTTTTATGATGTAGATTGTTAAAAACCCCTCATGCCAGTGAGAAAGTTGACTGCTCTGCTTCATCCTTGCCTCAAGGTGTAAATGAATCCCTTATACTTTTCTAAGCAGACACACGGAAGAAAACTCCCAACATGTTGCCAGGCAGTGAGAAGAGCTTGAAAAAGCCCACTTGGAGGTCTGAGGCCCGCGGTGACTTAAATGAATAAGTGTGGCAGAGCCTGCTTAATGGACCTGCTGGGAAAAGCAGTGGGGTTTCCCCAGAATGAGCTCCAAGCAGAGCCATGAGGGCAGGGGAACCGAGGGGCCCAGAGTAGGGCCTTGGGGCCCACAATGTTGGATATTAATGCAAATTCAGAGCAAAGATTCTTAGCCATCTGTCCTTTTATTTTCTTTGGACCCAAACCGGCTGTTGGTGGTTATTGAACAACAGTGGCCCTTGTTTACTGGCAACTGAGTGTTTGGGAAGAGAACCAATCAGTCAAGGCACAGAGAAAAATACCCCCTAAGTGAACCTTCCTGAACATCCCAGAACATCCTGACCACTGATATTTCCAGGAAAGCCTTTATGCAGAGAGGGGCACCGGCATGCCTGCGGCTTGTCAGTGCTGAGCCTGCCACTGTCCGAGGCTGAGCCTAAGGGCTGTGCTGGCGTTCTCGACTTCCCCCGGTGCCCCAGGAAAGGCCAGACTGCATCTAGAATGAAGGGTGCTCGTTTGAAACATGAAATCTCTGGTATTTGAGGAAATATATGTGCGGGATTTCCTCAGGTGGGTACAAGTCATGACCTTAGAATCTGTGCTATTTTGAAGAGCCTTCCGTTAGTGAGCAGCCTTCCTCCTGTATCAAGGGCCTTTATTTACTTAATGACCATTTTTTCCCCCTTCAGGATTTCCTGTGAGAGCTCCTGGGTTTGTTTACATCTTGGTCCACACAAATAATCCCCGAGTGTGGCCAGTAAGGTTATGAGATACGCTGCTCTGCGGACAGTTGATTTTTTTTTTATTCTTTTTAAAAAAATATTATAATAAGTATTACAAAGTGTATTACATATGTGTCCTTCCCCCCCACCCCGCCCTTGATAGTCCCCTGCCCTCCCTTACCCCCCAGTGTCTTATGTCCATTAGTTATGCTTATATGCATGCATATAATGGACAGTTGATTTTTAAGAAGCTTAATCTAAATACCTGGTTTTATGCAAACAGTTTCTGGACAGTTCATTTTTATTCTTCATCTAGTTTCTTCCTTCCTTTCTTTTTTTATTTAAAAAGAAAACCGAAAGCTTTCGTCAGCAGATCCTGATGAGAATTATTCCTTTTGCAGAGGTTAAGAATTTGGTGTCCAGTAGATCTTCACCTGAACAGGAGGATGGAAAGGTAATGACTCCCTGGCCCCCTTTTTTTCTCTGTGCTGCTCCCCAAAGTTAAAGTGGAAGTGAAGATCTGGTGGTAGTAATTTTTTTACAACCCCCCAAGAAAAAAACCAACACACACACACACACACACACACACACACACACCACACACACACACACTCAAGGATGTGCCCCACGCCACATTCAGAATAACTTGAAATTCAGTTTTCTTTATCGGATTTTCCATCTCTAGTGTTTATGACCATACCTAGCTATCTTTCTAGTAGTATATGCAAGATGACATAATACATTTTCCAAAACAAACTTGTACTTCAGGACTGATAACTAGCTGTGTGCTGGTAAGGCGCTTGCTAGAGTGAACCTGGGAGAGAGCCTTGGAGCAAGAGAAACTATGGAGAGCTCGCAGGCAGGTTTCAGCTTGGGACAGGCCCGTCTCGTATTTTTAGCTCTTAAATACTATCAGTTAAGGACAAGACTAGTTTTCTGTTTATGTGTGGTGCACATGTAACATGTCTTTACTGGTGTTCTCTGAGGTTGTTTTTCTAGTTTACAAAAATAAGGAAGCATTAATATGGCATTAAAAACACACACCTGACTTTATCTCTTCCAGGGCGTGAAAAGCCTGGTGGTTCAACTGAATGAGCATGAAGACCAGGACTGTCTAGATTTGGGTAGGTTCTAAAATATGGCTTCCCCTTGCACTCCTAGGGGCAGCACCGTCCCAGGTGCATGGAGGACAAGAAGGAAATATATTTAAAAAAGAAAGTCTTCCTTCCTGGGAACCTTGTCTGTTTCTTGAAACTCACTCAGATACATTTTCTTTGCAGCATTAGTTATGCAATGACCTCAGAGGTTGAGTCTCTATAATGTAAAAAGCAAAAACAATCAAAACAAAGCAATGAAGGCTTTTCCTGAGCTGTTTTGTTCTGAGCCAGCTGGGGCTGGGGACTTGTCCTATGTTACCTTGCTAGGCACAGCCCTCAGGTGAAGCGACTCCCCTCGCGGAGAGTGCCTCGTGGAATTGGGACTGATAACTTCCTTCCTCCTGGCCCTGGAATCCCCAAGCTGACCACTATTTCATTTTGATACCCAGTGTGGCCCCTTCGAGCTGAGCTGATAGGATCTTACCCCTGGCCTCCTTCAAAGGCCCCGGGAGGCCCCTGGGCAAGGAGAAGGTCATCCTTCCTGTGGGCCTGGAAATTCTCATCTGCTCACATGCGGGCTAGTTCACAGCGCCCTGAGGGCTCCTCCACAAAGCTCTTCCCTAGACATTTTCTAATTCTTCAGGACGAATCCAGGCCCAGAGTCCTCTTTTGAGTTACAGCCTGATGAGGCTGTTGGGTTGGAGGACATACATAGGCTGGGCAGAGGCCTCGTCTGGCCACCTGGATGGTCTTTGAAGGCCTCTGTGCTAAGTGCAAAGCAGATAAGCACCAACTTTCTAGGTGGTGTCTTCAAGCTCAGCACAGCTGAGGCAGGTCACATACCTGGAAAGCACAAGGGCCAAGCAGTCGTAGGAGTTGCAGAGGTGAGGCGGCGGCGGTGGTGGTGCAATGCTCAGGCTGGTGTGAAATCGGGAAAACCAAGACGATGCCCAGGGTGGTCCCGCAGAGCCTAGTGGTCGGGGTGCTCCCTGGAGGCCCATGGAGCGTTATGGGCACATTTGGCAGCTACTCGACAAAGCAGTTACAACAGTTGGGAAATCATGAAGAATGAGGCCTGGTGAGGAGGAAGCACCCTCAGGGGTGGTTGGCTGAGCTGCTGGTAGCTTGGCCACGAGCCAGCAGAGATTTGCTGGATCTCTTTGCGTGTGGAGCTCCTGCAATTGGAACAGACACGGAGACCATCCCCAGCAACCCACACGCCTTTACTATTCCTGTTATTTAAGGTAAGAGGAAGAATTGACTTCTGGAAGGGGGGAGATGAGAGGTGCAGGCCAGCATGTCCGTCTGGATGGCTGCTGTGGCCACAAAGCCGGGAGCGTGGCCCTAGCCCATGCATACAGGATGTCACATCCACCCAATGCATCACACACCCAGGAATGCTAGCTCCGAAGAATGTTTACCAAGACAAATTGCTGGTGGGGGGGAGTGTTGGCTGGTAAACATATGAAATACCAGGATTATTTTATTTTTATTTTTTTTAAATATATTTTATTGATTTTTTACAGAGAGGAAGGGAGAGGGATAGAGAGTCAGAAACATCGATGAGAGAGAAACATCGATCAGCTGCCTCCTGCACACTCCCTACTGGGGATGTGCCCGCAACCAAGGTACATGCCCTTGACCGGAATCGAACCTGGGACCCTTCAGTCCGCAGGCCGACGCTCTATCCACTGAGCCAAACCGGTTAGGGCATACCAGGATTATTTTAATTTAGGTTTTGAAAACTCACTTCATTCTCAAACTGGTATACTTGCTGGGTAAAGAAGACACGCGTGAAGGAAATTGTGGTAGCCTGACCTAATCCGGGTGTTTTGTCAGTAACATCATTGTGTCTGAGGAGGATTGTAGGGAAGGGTTTGAGACAGAACCATGTGTGACGTTAACCCGGTGACTTATGGAAGGGTTGTGAATGATTGTTCCTCATGCTTACATTTGTTTTTTGTTAACTTAAACTTTTTTTTTGGATTAAAAAAAGTTGCCTGACTTTATGCAGAGAAGATGATAATTGATTTTAAAAGAACCTTCTGACTCAGAGAAGGGGGCAGCCAGCAGTGAGCAATAGTCAGATGCCAAGCTGGAGTCTGCAGCTGAAAACCGCTTTTCCTCAAGGCCATTTTCAGCCTGTTTTGCTGTTTTATACGTGTGTACGTTCTGCTCAGTCTCTAGGGAAGGGCTGATACATGTGGGGTCTAGGTATGTCTTTGCTGGCTTGTATTATTGAAAATGTTTGATGTGAGTTTAGTGTGATCTCATAGACTACATCAGTGCTGTTGTGATAGAACTCTGTGACGATGGACATGTTCTGAATCTGCACTATTCAGCATGGTCGCCAACAGCCACATCTGTTTCTAGAATGTGTGATGTGTAACTAGTGTGACTGAGGAGTTGACTTTTAAATTTTATTTAATTTATTACGCTGGGAATTGACGTTGTATTGTTGTTGTTAACCCATCAGAGCATCAGAAATCATACTGGCCATTAGTTAATCCACCGAGAATGTTGATTGGAGGGTTAATGTCTCCAGGGGACAGCAGTTAGTAAGCTCTTCCGAGCCAGTGCCCCCGCCACCTCATCGAGAAGTGATAGTAGGATTCCATTTATGCTGAGTCCGCAGTGATGGGCCTGCTCTCTGTGGATGCTGCAAGGGCCTGGTGTTTTGCTCAAAAGGGAGGGCTGGGACCTGATTCCATTGCAGTGGAGAGCGGGACGCCCCAGTGGTTCTTTCACGTTCTTGGCAGGTAGAATGGGAGGAGAGGGCAAAGCATTTGGAGGAAATGGAAAAAGAGAAGGTAGATGAAATGGATCGATACAGAAATTAAGAAGGAAGGAAGGAAGGGTCCAGTTAGTCCCTGATAGAAGTGTAGAAGTATTGAGGGCTAAAAATGATTAAAAACTAGAGGCTCAGTAGTGGGCAGTGGCAAATGCTGTGCCCAGGAGAAGGGAAGTGAGCATCTGGCAGGAACAAGTAGACTGCCTGTGGGAAGATGGTCGAGCTTTGGCTGCCCTATTGGATTCCCAACTGCAAACAGAGATGCATTAGCTGTAAACAGCTTGATTAGCTGCTCTTTGCAAACTTTACTTTTAAAAGGTTGAATCTGAAAAGTTAAAACCATGGTTAGAATTAAGATGTCCAACTCACAGTTGAGTTCGTGCTGAGGACTGTGACATAAGAGCGCCGGTATCTCAGGTGAATTGCAGAAGCTCCTGGAAGGTGACACCCCTGCTCTCTCAGCAAGTGATATTCCAGAGTGTGAGTAGGTTGTGTGTGACAGTCAGATTTGTGTGTGACAGAGACGCATACCGAAGCTGATTTTCTTGCAATAATTTATCAGCCATGGCTGCATTGGACTAAAGAGTATTTGAAACTTACTTGGCTAAAATTGTATATTGTATGACTGTTGGATGGGGGGAAAGAAGGGATTTGGTGAAACTGACTTACTCAAACAAGAACTATGTGAGCATCGTGTAACTTTCCTCGTGAGGGACGATGGAAGGCAGGTAGGGAGAGACTAGGGGAGGTGGTGGCGGCCTTGTCTGGCATCATCTGTTTTGCTCAGGCAGTCCCAGTACCTTGATTGAGGCTCTGGGCATAAAGCAGTGCCATGTCTGCTGTTCCAGGTTTGGCTGGCACACAGTGGACTTGGCATAAGTATCAGAGAAGATTTTAAACATAACATCTTGCTAAATAGCTTTTGCTGAAAAATTATTGTTTTTTAAAATCATGTAGAAAAATCAGAAATTTTAGAATGAGTAGAAAAAAAGAAAAACATCCCTATAATTTTCCCACTTCCAAGGAGCTACTCTTAAATTTCGGTATATTTCCTACCAGTATTTTTTCCTATGCATCTATTGTTTATATAGTGATGATCATGTAAACAGTAGAATTTTGTGTCCTGCTTTATTCATTAATCAGCATAAGTATGGAGCATAAGTATGCTCCATTTCAGAAGGTAGCTTAAACCGATTCTGACCATTTCCTACAAAAAAATATGGATTATTTTTCCAAGAAGAGAGGGAAAATGTCACAGAGACTCCCGAGAAGTATATTATTTGATTTTAAGGAGTGGCTTGGTTGTCAGTAGGTGCTGAGGCTTGAATCCTAATTATTCTTTAACACTTTGGGTCACTTCATTGCTCTTGCTGTTTGTTACTTATAAATGGTCTGAGAAAAAGCAAGCCTCTCAATGGGTGTTGAGCCTGGGAGGGTGGGCATGAGGGAGACAGATGAACAAAAGTGGGATGTGGAAGGAGACCTGACTTGATGCCCCAAAGCAGAAACAGATAGAAGCAAACGTTAGGATGTGAGGCGCTTCAGAATGCTCAACCTAAATGACGCAGACTTCTGTTACTGCCGACAAGACCAAGAAGGAGAAACCAAGGCCCCACACAGGAATCTCAGGGAGATGCCAGCAAAGGGAATCTGGAAGGAAACGATTGGAAGATCCAAAGAAACAGTGCCTCTAGTGCTGGTTTGGCAAACCATCAATTAAGTAGGACTAATTAGATTAATATTTCTTTTCTTCTTATGTTCACTAAAAGTTTGGAAATGGAAGTAATGCTGTTAAGCTGTAAAAACTTATAAAACTGTATTTTTAAGTTGTTTGTGAGCATACAGTTTTGCAAATGTTCCCAACAACATTTTGGGAACATTAAGGTCCTAGATCTTAAGTGTGAAATCTTAAGATCTAGGACCCGTGTCAGTGGAAGTTGGTCCTCTATTGGCTATTATTATTTCTTATTTTTATTTTTTAGGTGAAAAGTACAGAAACTTTATTGCAAGCAGACACTACCTCTAAAACCTAATTCTAAATTCTAAGCCTAAGACTGTCGCTCCTGGACAGACAGAGAAGGGTGGCCGCTGCTTTCTTTGTCTTGAGGCATTAAATAGGCTGCAGTTCTTTGTCTGAACCTGACCCCTTCTTATTGGTCATTCTGCTGCACAGAATTAGTTCTCAAAGCTCAAAGCCCACGTGGTGTCCCCCACCTTCTCTCCCCCTTACCTTGTT